CCCTTCGTGGGACAATAAAGGCCGTTTCTATTCCATTCTATTTCCAGACACTCCCTTTTCAGATGGAGCCCCCTCCTCAAATATGGGGTCTATCATAAATAAAACCATTGGCTGGTGCAGTGTAGGTCAGACTCATCTAAATTCCTGACGAACTTCTTGTTGATCGGTGCAGCTGTTGAGCAAAAATCACTGAAATAAATAACTAAACAAATGGTTTGAAAGCTTCGACTATGGGGGTCATAATAAAGGTGGGTTCAGATGAACCATATCCGAGGCACGCCTGGTCTAAAGCACCACCACCAACAAATTAACATCACGTTTTCCAACATGAAACATATCTTTTAGTTCACTTGCTGCAACTTAAACTATCCACCAGCTGAATGAGCACAAAGTTAAAATGACAAAAAATAGAACGAAGCCACAAAACTTCATTTTTCAGCTTCTGCTGACTCTTCCACCAAGTTTATAACTCCCCATTAAGTTTCTTGTAATTTTAATGAAGTGGACATTTGATTACACAGTTCAGTACACCACCATTAACTACTGCTTTAGTCATAAACAAAAAGATCAAATAAACGCTTTTAAAAGGTAAAACAATTCATTAAAACACATTTTATTGGTACATAGCCACTCATTTTTTTCCTCTTTACTCTTGTAAATTCTTTTTGATGTAATCTTCCTCTTTTCATGAGACTTCAGTTATATAAGAGACTTAGCTCCTCTTATCCCTCCTTTTCCTTTCATTCATTTATCTCKCTCCATCTATAAAGTTTTTCCCATTACTCCCCTTGAGCCAAACAGTCAACCAATATAATGGGCCAATACCACTAACATACTGCACATTGTATTTCTGTTGGCCGATAAATCTGGACTGATATGTTGTTACTCCCTTATGAACACAGTTTTTACCTTCATTTCCTCTACTTTACGTCATCCTACCTCTCACCTCTCGTGTTTTACGTTTCTTTACTTCTTCCATCCCCCACCCACCACAGCAGAGTATTTACAGCTGGTGTTCATAAGGTCGATAAATGGCAGATGCCAATTGTTTGAGACTGGAGATAAAAGCTGGCAAAACTGAGACCRCCATCTATCAAATCCCCCCAGAGCTGAGCTTCACTCAGTCAAAAGAGAGGAAGAGGAGGGTGTGGAAAAGGGAACTAACTCTTCGTCTGTAAGAAACTGACAGACTGACAAAGAGACACTTTATAGTTGCTGTAAACAATGCCAGCTCTCTGATTTAGTAGGGTCAGGGGGATTTGTAGTTGCAGCATCAGAATTATTTGCCGTTTTACTRCTGCAGCAGTATTATCTGGATGAAGGGTCAAATTTAACCACAGCAAAAATAATCACACTGYCACTCYTTTTGACAGTCACTAAAAGACTATACAGAGTTAAATCCCTAAAGAATTCAGTTTAACTGGATTCTTTGACATGTTTATGCTTCTGTCCTTAAAGGGATCGGTTAGTAAGTGTTGTTTTGCCGACTAGTTACAAACAGTGTGACTAACTATGAGTACTGTTATGGCTAAGTTACCTACTACTATGGGTACCGAATTCAATACTTTTATAAGTATCGACCGAATTCTGTCGGTACTACCGAGAACCTATTCACGTAACATCAATTGGTACCATGTTTCGGTACCTAAACCCATCATTGCGACCGTTATTGCTTTAGAGTGGTGAGTTTTCCATGCTTGTCCTGAACGTAGCATCGTGTAAGAGCGTAATGACGTCAGCAGCTGCTGGTTCAGTAAACAGRGTTCAGTCTGAACGTAGCTTGAAAGCCTCGCAGCTTCTGGAGTAAAATTTACCAAACAGACCGCCTCTGAATTATCTGGTGGATTTATTATTTTGTGAGCACGACGTTCGCTTGCTCAAAGTAAATAAAGTACCGCCACTTTCTTTATTTCATCCACCATTAAACAGAGACCAGCAGAGGAAAACAACAGAGGTGCTTACCGACTGTCCAAACGTCTGACCTGAAAGAGCACAAGCAGCCAACTTGAAACGTTGGAGTGTTTTGGATGCTCAAAACATAGCTTGAATACCTTTTATTTATTTTAACTCCATCCTCTTTTCCTATTTGATTTAAACTTATTAGCCTTCCATGGACCTCCATCAGTTTTTCTAGCAGGGAAATGACATCAATAGAAACACGTGGAGCTGGATTTTAATTTGTGCAATAAGAAAAAACAGTCTTGTTGTTTTCAAGAATTTGCACTTTAAAGAAATTAGTTAAACAAGTGATGTTACAATACATAGAGCTGGATATGTTGGATTTGTTAAATTTTTTATATTGAGAATCAGAATCAGTTTTATTGCCATTGTCAATGAACAGGATTCACAGACTAGGAATTTGCTTCGGTGTTATATTGAAATATTTAACAGTGTTATATTGAAAAATATGTTAAATAAAAATGTCAAAAAGGTACCCATCCCTACTAACTACTGATTAAAACAYCACTTCAAAATGACAATTATTACTTTAAAATAAGAAATTCTAACAAAAGCCTAGAACTCACAGACAAAACATGGCCCGAGGAGCAGGGAAGGAGCTATGATTATCTGGTGACCACAATTTAAATTAATTTAATTAAAATAATCCTAATCAACTTTTAGTGAGTTTATATTAACTTATCCTGGGGGGGGGGGGAAGCTCTGCAGGAAACAAAACTGCCTGAAACATGTTTTTTTTTATAAAACATCAGCTCTGAGTGAAACTAAAGGTTTTTTGACAAATATGAGCAAAGTTTTCTGACTGCTTTATTTTAAAGGTTGTGACATAATGTAAAATAACTGTGATGCATAGTTGTAGCATAATATGACCCCTGCATGTATGCAAAGCTCCAATGCACCAGAACAGATTTATTGTTTTTGGTGGGGGTCCGGAGGGGCTGGGGTTTTTTTTTATTGGTGGGCCCGATAGATAACCCTTCATCAGAGCTAAACAAGAAAAAAATCGGAAGCTCAGTTGAATTGTTTTTGAGTTTTACATGTTTTTGTATGTCCAGACACCCCCTTTTCAGATGGGGTGGGGGTCGGGGTGGGGGGCTCATTGGTGGGCCTGATGTATAGCCCTTCAGAGCTGAACAACAAAAAAATAAATAAACCTCAAGGTCCTATGTTGAATAGTTTTTGAGTTATAAGCATTTTTATGTCCAAACAACTGCTTTTCAGATAGAGCCCCCTTCTCAAATATGGGGTCCATCATAAAACCGTTGACCGGCTCTGTGTAGATCAGACACATCTATTTTCCTACCAATTTTCATGTTGATTGGTGCAGATGTGTCTGTGCTACAGTTGACCAAAAATCACTAAAAAATAAACAGTACAAAAACAATATGACCCTCACTTGGCGTGCAGCGGTCATAAATATTGTTAACATAATGTGCACAATGTTTCAGTTTAATTTACACATATGATTTCTTCATTAAACCTCTTTTGAAATTAAAAGTAACTTCAAAAACTGCAGCTAAAACTTTATGTATGAAAACTAATTGAAATTCCTGATAAAATCAAGCTAATTTAGTGATTTTAACGTGACTTTTAATATAATAAATAAACTGTTAGGTCATTTATCCAGGATACCCCGTGGTTTATTCATGAAGTTATTTAAGTAATACTTTAGTGTTTCGTTACCGTGCAGTCTGTTCACAATGCTAACAGAATTATAAAACATAACATCTAAATGTTAATAACCTGAGGAATAATTGGATTGCGTGAGCCCCCGCAGCAGAAGAGATATTGCAAAGTGAGCGCAAGACGAAGCGGCGGCAGAAGAGGACAAGAGGTCCCACTTACTGCTCCTGACAGAAAAATTGACATGGAAAGCCAACACTTAACGCCTCTCTCCTCCATCACTTGCCTTCCACTCCTCACCCTCCTCCGTCTCCTCCGTTCTCCTTGCTCTTATGCTCTGATGGATGACCTTTCCAATAAATATGACTCATCTCCTGAGCTGTCTGGGTTACAGAACATGTTAGAGAGGCTGAGAAGCGGAGAGTCGACGGTGCTGCTGGACAGAAAGCAACATGCTTTTTGTCTGATCGCTGCAGCCTGGCCTGCTTTAAACTCTGTGATGGAACATCGTGAAGCAGTGGGTGAATAAAAACTAGGCTATAAACAAAAAGAAGGAAGAGAACAGCGAGAACTTTGGTCTAAAATGACGTCTAAATGATGCTTAAAACTCTCCTACTAATTAGTAGGCCTCTGCAGACCATGATGGCATACTGAGGAGGCCTACTAATTAGGCACTCCTTAGGTTCAGCTGTGTTGAACCAGAGCAGAACCTAAAACATGCAGGACTCCAACCCTTGAGGACTGACTTTGGGCACCACTGTAGTAATATTTGCTACTTTTTTGCTTCTTTTTTTTCTTCCTTTCTAATGCAGAACTAGATACTGCATGGCATTAACCTATATGACCTTCCCACATATGCACCAGAACTTAGAACAGATTTATTGTTTTGGATGGTGGTCCAAGGGGGGTGGGGGGGCTCATTGATGGGACCRCCCTTCACCTGAGCTAAACAACAAGAAAATCTGAAGCTCCTAAGTTCAATAGTTTTTGAGCTATAAGCATTTATGTGTGTCCAGACACCCCCTTTTTAAATGGGGTCTATTGTAAAACCACTGGCTGGAGCAGTGTAGGTGGAACACATCTATGTTCCTAACAAATTTCATATTGATCTGTAAAGCTGATTCCGTGCTACAATTGACCAAAAAAAATCACTGAAGATAAAATAAATAAAATAAATAAATAGTACAAAAACAATATGACCCCTTCTTCCCATTCAGGGGGGTGGGGCGGTGTCATAATAAGGATAATGGAAGTTTCGGTTCCGATCTCAGATAAAGTTCAGACTGAAGTCAGGTTTTCAGTGTTCTACACTTATAAATATTAGTTTCATGTTTTATTAATCCCAAGAAATTAGTAAAATGCTTTTGAAATGGCTGGAAAATGCAGAGTTATGTGAAGATCTTTTACTGAATTTTCAGAGGGAGCATACGGCCTGGACCCTCCTAGGACGGCCTCACTCTACAGCTGCTCGTTAACATGTTCCTCATTGGTATCAACAGATGTTGGCAGGTATGAATTATATTGTTAACTRGGACAACTTTGWTTCTAAAGTTAAAAAAATTCCTTTCATTTGGTAYGTGAATGTTTGCAAATTGGCAGTGAGATAAAAAAAACTGGGAGGACCACCTTAAATCTTGCCTAGGGCACAAAATTGGCTTGGGCCAGCCCTGATATCCTGCCTTATTCAGTTTTAGACTAATCCCAGTATCTGTAAAACTGACTGAATTGTAGCCTTTTTATTTTGGCTATATGTAAAATTGGGCTGATATTAACGTCCGATAATGATTTCCCACTTTTTATCTTTGCGTTTTTGTTTTATGAGGGGAGATGGTTGGTTGAGAGGCATCTGTTTGGTCATGATAGTGATATTGATGCTGCGCAGCCAGGAATAACTGAAGTAGGGAGTCATGTCAGAGGTCTGGTCCTTTATTTAACGTATCAAAAAAAGGCCTAAGTGTGTTTGTGCGTAAATGTATAACATAATTTTTGTGTTTGTGTAATATCGGTAAATATCGGTTACCAGACATAACCGCAATAATTATATCAGATATCGGCTGAAATTTTCATATTGGAGCATCCCTATTCTGGGGTTATCCCGTCAGAGCAGAGCCTGTGCAGTTCCTTGTTTCTTTCAATGTTTCAGATTTTGTTTCAATGATAAAACTTCAGCAATTTTTCCACTTAAACAAAAACTTTGACATGTTCGTACAACAACTTTGTCATCCAGTTAATAATCCCTTTAAAAACAAAACAAAAAAGAACCTAAAAAAATGTTGTGCTCTACCTCTGTCTCGATTTTTTATGTTTTTAAATCTGCATCTGTGCTGAAACTAAACCCTTCTCACCATGAGGAGCGATTCCTGGAAACTGTTCGAACACGTTTGGCTCTGATCATACGTCCTCAGGTCTTCTGAAACATCAGAAGCGACTTCGTCAATCTGCCATCACCACGCTCACGTCTGTGCATTTAGTGAGAGTTTTTGCCTTTTTCATGCAACCTGCTGGCGTCTCACGGCAGCCAAGGCCAGGTGATTTGGTAGTTAGGCAGTGGGAGCGCTCACAAGAGGGCTCTATGCTGCTGATATTCTACTCAGAGAAATTATTGTCCATTATGGCCGCGAGGAGGACAAGCACTGTAATCACTAGAGGAAGAGAAAAAAGCTCCAGATTTCAGCTGTTTATGCCCTCCTCCTCATTTTGCCTATGCAACCATCTCTGTTAGCCTTTGCTCAAGGTGAATCATTCTACTATAACAGCAAGGCCTCATGTGCAGCTATTATAAAAATCATTTGTTTGACATTAAATATGATTTTTTAAATATGGACGCATGCAGCCAAATTAAAAAATTACATTTGTAAAAATAAAACTTTAAAAAAATCAAGCATTGGCCAAGACTCGCTTGAAAAATAAAGCTTTACTCTAAATGAGTCGTAAGTTTAAATAAAATGTAATCATTGGAAAATGATTATGTAATGTTTGAAGATGAGGTGAAAACATTGTGTTCACACCCACATGAGGGTTCACAGACGATGAAATCCACAAACAAAATGTATTTCCAGGATACACTAATACTCACTTGGTTTGACGTAAACGCTGTAAACTACATTATTTATTCAAGTATAATACGTAAAATTAAATCCATAAAATCATCCATAAAGTTGGGGGGTAGTGGGTAGTACTATACTCGAATAAATATTTTTATTGGCTTCATTCACAAAATTATTGAGTCCGGAAATGAGACCACGTCGTAAAAAGCAGTTGAAATGAGCTCACCTCTTACACTCCTCCATGCTTCAGGGCGAGATAATAACAAATCCATCAGCCAACATGATGTGAAAAAAAGGGGGAAAAAGTAGTCCTGCACCTCAGTAATGATAACGAACTAATGACATCAGCGTGTTCAGCGTGACATCAGGGCCGTTCCTCTAACAACAACAAAGGCATGTTCGTCTGTAATGGCTGCCGTCTACCGGTGTTCTGAAAAAGTTTGTATCCCTAAAAAAATGTTTCCCCACCAGAGGGGGCGCTCGCGAGTAGGAAGTAATCTGCTTTTCCCCCATAAGATGGTCCAAATCTCATATGAAGTCTCTGACTTTTGTGTTGGCGCCTCCTGGTGGACTATGTGTAAAATGCCAGAATTCATATGATGCTGCTACAGCTGATATATATTTGTTGTCAAAATACCTTTTAGTACATATGTTGTTAAAATAAAATGAACAGTCCAATGATCATTTTACTGATATGTATAAAGACTGCAAAGGCTGAAAAATCTTGGAAGTCTGGATGAAATTGGAGGTAGTTTGAGGATTACATATTTTTTATGCTTTTTAAGCTCAAAAAAGGGGGTCGTATTATACATGAGATCGTATTATACATGAGATTGTATTATACACGAATAAATATGGTAAACACAACAAATACAGCAAACAGCTTCTCTCCTGCAGTCATTTATTTTAAATCTGATGATTTAACGATCAAAAACCCGTCTCCACCTCACTCTGACATCAGCCTCCAATTAGATGTTTAAGATATTCTTTTGGCCTCGATGAYGGATCAGTCGGAAAGTTAGTTAAGAGAAGAAGTGAAAATGTGGCCCTTTTCATCTAGAGAAGGATCTCCTGCCTGCAGGATGCCCTTCAGTGTGTCTGTCACATCAAGTCACAAATCACCAAACACCACAGCTATAGATTGCACACATTTTGTTCAACACATCCTCGAGGCAAAGTGGCCCCAAGTGTAAATTCATGATGAGATTTTTTTTTTCCTTCCTTGGGTCGACAAACTATCAGCAAGAAACAAATCTGGTGAAATAAGAAGTTTGGAAAAGCGAGAGTTTGTTGTTTGTCAACAAACTAACATCTGCAACTTAGAATATCACAAATGACTCAGTTTCTGTGTTAGCGGATCAAATTTTAGGTTCGTATCTGCTGTCTGACTAAGATCCAGCCCATTGTGGGTTTTTATGTCAGCTGGCTGTTTCAGCCATCTTAGATGCAGTCGACTCCCAAATTTAACCAGCTTTAAATGTTATTACAACTAGATACTGCATAGCAATAGCATTTATGACCCTGCCACATGCACAAAGGGGCGGCTGTGGTGCAGTGGTAGTGCAGCCGGCTTGGGACCCAAAAGTCACAGGCTCGACTCCCCACCATGCCCACATGTCGTGGTGTCCCTGAGCAAGACACCCAACCTCCAACTGCTCCCCTGTCGCTTAGATAGATCAAATGCAGAGCACACAATCTGTCATTGTATGGGAACATGCACTGATGACCAATAAAGTACCTTTTTCTTTAAAAATAAAAAATGAAAGGCATCAGAACAGATTTACTGTTTTGGGTGGGGGTCCGGGTCCTCATCGGTGGGCCCGATGGATATCCCTTCTTCAGAGCTATACAACAACAAAAAAAAAAAAAAAAAAAAAAAAAAA